GCCGCTGGGAGGCACGCGCTAAATACAGTAAATCCTCGGCGCAATCGCCAGAGCGCCCGTGGGCGTTTCAGCCTTCCATTAACGCACGCGGCGCGGCGTGGCGCACCTGTAGCGGCCGGGGCGGAGGTCGTGGCGGAGGTCGTGGAGAAGGCCGCGATGGCGGAGGCCGACCCTCCCAATGGCGCCGCTTATCGGGCGGCCATCGTGGCCGCGGAGGCCGGGCCGAAGTCAAGGTCGCGATGGAGGTAGCTGCCAAAGGGGAAAGGGCGGAAAGGTTCCTTTGCAGTGGCCTTTGCACGCCCTTTGGCGCCGAGCGCCGCCGGTGCGGGTAGCACGGGTGTAGGTCAGCACGGGTGTGGGTAGCACGGGTGTAGGTAGCACGGGCGCGGGGCAAGGCGGGTAGCAAAGTCAACCAGGAGACTTGGTAGTTTGAGGATCATTTGAAGGCGCCTGAAAGGTGGGCGAAAAGTCGCACTTTACCCCTGAAAGGAGGCAACTTTCGCGACATTCCCACCCCTCTTTTCCCGTCTCTGGATCCACCCTTGTCATCTGGTGACCAAAGAGTCTTCCTCCCTCCACCTTGAGCGTGGCGAGGCTCGGGCTCGGGCGAGGCCGCCTTAAGGCCGCCTGGCTCTGTCAAAGGAGAAGCTTCTGACCGCGGGCTGTGGGGCGCCCCCTGCCCCCTCTCCGCGTCAGCCACAGTTCTAGTAAGACGGCGGAAGGGGCTCGCCGGGAGAGGCCGCGGGAAGGCGGCGGCGCCCAAGGCGGCGCCCCCAGAGTCCAGGCAGGTGCGGAGGTGGCGCACAACCCCGGCAGCAGGAGATTCCCAAGGGTTGTCTGTTTCTCTCGCTCCGACACGGGATGCCCAGTGAGTGCGAGAGAGACAGAGCGACGAAAACGACTCCCCGAATCAGTCTGCGCGAGGCGGCCGGCAAAAATACCGAGGCGATATTGCATTCCCACGCAATAAGCCAATGGGACCCACAGGGGCACCCACAGGGGCACCCACAGGGGCACCCACAGGGGCATACAAAGGGGCGCCCCGGCCAGAACCAATAAGGCAATGGCAATGGCCGCGAGGCTCCATCGGCGGGCTCAGGGCTCCGAACACGGTCGGAATGACGCTCAACGCCAAGACGACCAAAACTATGAACGGAAGTACAAACAGCAAACACCCGTTGCCTGTGTGTCTCGACAGCGTCGGTAAAGACTTCCATTGCCGGCCCGTCCAGCATGGCGGTATCCCTCCAGTTTGTTTCACGGCTCGCGTTCGAGGGCGCGACTCGTTGGCAGTGTGCTGGTTCGGGGGCGTCCTGACACCTGATGCGCCTCGCCGCGTTGGCCGCGTTGGCCGCGGTGCGGTATCGGGGCGCTGTTTCTATCACGATGTGCGCCGTACAATTGGGTCGCCCGGGGGAAGGGGGAAGGGGGCGCCCCTGCCGAGGGCCCCTACCGGGTGCCCCTGCCGCCTCCCCCCCCCCTCCCCAGCGCCACGCCCTACCCCATCCTCTTTCAGGAGGCTGGCTGCTGCAATCAATAAACTGCAGCCCCCCCCCCGCTCTTTTGTCCCGGCCGGGGTTGTAGTCGCTGCTCTTGAACATTCCGGCCACGCATCGCGGCACCGCGACGTCGCGGCCGCAGCCCGCGCGCTCATTCCGAGTCGTTTTCGCTCTGCCCCTCTGTGTTCCGTATGGGTGCGGGAGAGATAGAGCGACAAAACCGACTCTTGGAGCCAGTGTGCTGGTTCCGTGTGGCATTTGCGGCATTTGCATCCAAAGGGCCGCCCGCGGCTTGCGCACCACGGGGCCGCGACGCCACAACGACCGCGGCCTCCACCGCCTTGCCGAGGCTCGTAAAATCTCGGCCCCGCCCTGTCCCCCCCCCCACGGACCCCTTCCGCAACGGGGGGCGCCCAAAACACCGCCCCGCCACCCCGTCTCACCACCGCCAACCCGCACCGGCGGCGCTACCCCCCGCCTGTCCCAGGGTAGACGGGCTTGACGGATGGGGCGATACCCCGTGCCGATACTCCGCGCGTCGCGAGCCCCTTGGCCGCGTGGCGTTGCGCCCGTTGCGTCCAGACGCCCAGACGGCACGACAGGGCTCGGCCGGACCGCGACTCCGGCAGACTCACCCCGACAGCCTCCCTCTCACTCATAAGGCGTCGCGTGAAGGTGCGAGAGAGACAGAGCGACGAACACGACTCTCGGAATCAGTCTGCTGTTGGATGGCGCGCGTTCGGAGGCTCTGGTGGTGCAGTCCGTGCAGGCGGACGCCGAAAATGAGGCGGCGTTCTCGGGAGGGGAGGGGGAGGGGGAGACTTAGGGTTAATGGGCCTTGAATAATGAAGCACCGACAGGCCCATCCTCGCCACCGGGAGGCACTTCTTGCACGTGTGTGTGTGTGTGTGTGTGCAAGCGCCCCTGCGCCTGTGTGCGTGCGAGTCATTTCGCTCGACGGCTTCGCGGCTACACTACACTGTGCTGGCGTTGCCGGGCGGCCAAGGCGGTAGCGCTTGCGTTAATTATTTAAGGGCCAGACATGACGCGAGCGGGCCGGGGCGGGGCGAGGCGGGGCCGGGGCGGGCAACAACGAGGAAAGAAGGAAAACAGCGAGCAGGCCTGCGCGGCCCGTCTGCCCATCGTCATCGTGGCGGAAGCGACGCCGTGGTGGCAGGCCGTTCCCTAGTTTGAAAACGAGACAGTAATGCTTTAGAGCAAAATGAACGACACCCGAGGGGCGGGGCGAGCCTTGCGGCGAGCGGCACGGGAGCGTCCGCGCCCTAGGCCCGTCTCATGTAGGTGTGAACGTGTAGGTATACGTGTCGAAGGGAAAGGTCACCGCCGTGGACTAGCTCCAGCATACACACACAAACACAGAAACAAATGCACACGCACACACACACACACACCGATGCAAGCGGCACACACACAAGGCGATCCCGTGCATTATTGACCGAGGCGGGATGGCACCCCACGGAAGAACGGGAGCGCGGTCTCATCCCAGAGGCCCCGCCGGCCGAGCCCCCCCCCCCCCCACCTCTCCCTTTCCCCCCTTTTCCTGCCCCCGCCATCAATAAGCGATGCAGCATTTCAGCAACAGGGGCATGGAGGCATGGAGACTGCAGCCAGGGCCGCCACATCCCACACTCTTCTAAAAATTTTAGATGCGAAAATTTTTATCGAGTCGAAACAAAATTCTCATATTTTACAGGTTCTTCACATTAGGTGTGTGTGTGTGTGTGTGTGTGTGTGTGCGTGCGCGCGCGCGTGTGTGTGTGCGTGTGTGTGTGTGTTTTTTCAATCGCAGTGCATTTCAAGTTTTGTGCGGTGGCAAGGACCACCCGCAGATGCAGCCAGCAGCCATCCTTGTCCAAGCCCCACCGTTTCCGCGCGTCCCGGCAGGTGCTCGCCGCGTTCGCCCCGCGGGCCGTGCGCCGTGCGCCGTGCGTGCAGTGTGCCGTGCTGCAGCCGCGCGGCCCAACGGGGTCGAGGTCGTTGCCCCGCGCATAAACTTCCGCATGATAGACCCTAAAAACACGGCGGGGGCGTGGCTGGCGAGGCCTTCGCGGCGCCACAATCCAACTTTATCCGTGGTGGGGTGGGGTGGGGTGGGGTGTGGCGGGGCGGGGCGGGGCGGGCACCTGCAGCGGCGATAGCGCCACACATTTATTTCGCCTCCAAATAAATACAAGTGCGAGACGTGAGCGGAACGGCCAAGAGCGGAGAGCGCGCGCCGGCAGAGTCGCGTGGAGAGTGGTGGCGGAGAGTCGGAGAGAGGGAGAGGCAGAGGCGGAGCGGGAATGGCGGCAAACCGGGAAGGAAGAAGGGGACAGCAGCATAGTCGAGCACGCGTCAGGGAAAGTGCATGCACTCACTCCGTGCGCCCCGCACCCCGCGCCACGCCATGCACCGCCACGGCACTGCATGGACCGGCACTGCAAGGCACTGGGTCGGCGCTGTCCAGCATCACTCCTTCCGCGACCTCCAGCCGCAGCAGCGGCATCCCGTGTTCCCCAGAGCGGGGTGGGTCGTTCATGCCCAGAAATAAGACTTCTGGAGCATCCGCGGCGCAAGCTGTGCTCCACTCCGCTCCGCTCCGCCTGAGCCTAGGCTGCCTCGGTGCCTGCACTGCCTGCACTGCCTGCACGCACGCTGTTCCAAACAGTGCGCTGGGCACGCACGCCGTCCCGACTGTTCCCGGCAGTCACTGCCGGCAACAGTGTGCCTGTGCCTGCCTGCCGCACTGTTAGGCATCGCTCCAGATGGGGTGTGCACGCAGTCAATTTCCTACAGTGTGGGGGATCGTTGGAGAGCGCTCACGACTAGAACACGAGTGCAGCCCGTCCTGCCCTCGCAGCAACCCCGTCTGCAGCATGGCTGGCCCCGTCTGGCCCCGTCTCCAGCACGGCTCCAGCATGTCTCCAGCGCCGCGAGGGGGCTGGAAGGGCCTGCGGCAGCTTAGACCTGTCTGGACGGCTGGAGCATAAAGTGTCGCCCAGTCACTGCAGCGATAAAGTGACGCCCGGAGAGGCGGGCGGGGCGGGGCTGGCCCTCGGCGCGGCCCTCGGCTCGGCCCTCGGCTCGCCCGCTTGACGGCGAAGTATTACATTGGGCGCGACGCCCCGGAGGGAGCGCCAGGAAGGGCCAAGGGTTCTCTCTCGCAGTCAATGCAGCAAACGCGGCGTGTACACAGCAACCTGGCAGCGTGTACGCTGTATTGGCTGGTTCAAGTGTATGCACTTCGGTTTTCAGGGTTGGGTGCCTTCTTTTTTTTCTTGAAGGGAGAGGCCAAAACAACCCGGGCCAATCGGGCCGCATTCCAAACCGCTCCAGTCTGGCTGACTGGAGGCATGAAAAGGGAAAAAGGGGGGGGGCACTGTCCTCGCAAAGAACCCCTGGCCAGGCACGCAAGGCACGCGAGCGCGGCGGGGCGGCCTGCCTCCCAGGCGGCCAAACGCACACAAACACACAGGCTGCAGGCGAAAACCGAATACACACCGTTTCCGAGTCCGCCGGGCACCACAGGTCCAGCTGCTGGGGCGGCTTCCTGGAACACACAACAAGGGGCGTTAGAACGCATGGGACTCGGGTCGCGACCCACTTCGCGGGCCGAAGGTCCCAAACGACGACGGGCCGACCTAGGAATCGTCCAGCAGACTCATGATTTCGGGACTCGTTTTCGCCGCTCTGCCTCTCTCGCACTCACGGCGCGTGTAGGTGAGAGAGACAGAGCGACGAAGGCGACCCTCAGAACCAGTCTGCTGGACCGAAGCCGTCTGCCCTCGCCTCTAGCGCTGGCCTCGGCGCGCACGCCGCGCGCCCATTGCATTGTCCTTAGACCAGCCGCGCCGCGTCGCCGCGTGCCAAAGTGAAAACACGACGGCCACCTTTCCTTTATCACGTCCGCCCTCGGCGGCCCGATAGTGTTTGACGCGCGAGACAAGCTTCGAGGGATTAGCGCCGCCAATGCCATTATTGGCCGATGTCACACTTCCTGTGTGTCGGCAGCCGGCGGCACGCTTCACGTGTCTGGCTAGTCCCAGATTATTTTCAGCCCGATGCTGTTTTGAGCTGGCCCGGATCGAGAGAGCTGTAAAAGGGGAGTGTTTTCACCTCAGAGCTGCAAATCACCCCGGTTATACACTTTGATCCATTGATGCCAATATTTTCGAAATTTCTTCTGTCATCAGAGTTGATATCGCCGTGGATGGGCGTGACAAAATTGGCATCAGCCAAGTAAGATGACATTCTTGTAAGAAAAACTAGACTTCAAATAGCCATCAAACGATAGCCAAAATTGGTTATCAATGAGGAATTGATTTGATCCTCTATGAACTTGATCAATACAGCCACTCGACGACTTTATCTTTTAGAGTTTGAATGCACTTTAAACCCATCCTGAGCCGTGAAAAAATTAAAAAAATATGCGCTACTGACAGCGAGAATGGCGCTTCCTTAATGGCGGCGAGGCGGAACGAGCAACGAAAGCAGAGAAAATGAGAGGGTTTAGTCACGGTGACGAGGCCTTTTTAATTGAACCGACGACAATAATAATAACAACAGCGGCGGCGATCTCACCGGCAGCCTTGCAGAGCAGTGCGCAACCATTCAATCTCTCCGCCGCACTTTGGCGCGCTTTCCGGCCGACCACTTTGCCGACATCGGATGCATTTTGCCGTCGGCCGCCGTCGGCACAGTCGCACGCTGGAAACGGCCAATCAAAATGAGCGACAGCGAAAACGCGCCAATCAACACATTTAGATACAACACAAATCCTGAGGTCAGACTGCTCGTCGCTCCAAAAGAACAGAACATTGTTCACCTGACACTTTCACTTTACCGGACCAAACTAACAAATTTTCTGCTGTGTATCGGTAAGGCAAGTGCTGTCATTTTTTTTTTTTCAGTGCGGACGGCAGGACGCTGCCCGACGCCTGCCCATCCTCGTCGCACAGCGCGCCGCGCCGCGAGTGACTCACTTCCGACTCGGAGAACAACGCCAAATGTAAGGCCGCTGGCGATAGGGCACGCACCGCCAAAATTTTGCTTGACAATTTCAACAGTGTGCAGGCACGACGCTCCCACACTGTTTAGAGCGGGCGCGAGAGAGACAGGACGACGAAATACAAGAGACGAAATGGCACGCTGCCCTCCGCGACGCCGCGGCTCAGTGACTCAGTGGGCGGCCAGCTAGGCCGGCAAGGCCAGCAAGGCCAGGGCCTCGGCCTCGACGGCGTGGAGCCGAGCCGAGCGCACCCACGCCCCAGAGACTCCATGTGCTCGTCGCCAGGCGCCGCGCGAGAGTTCGAGTCCGTTTTCCTGTTTTCAGGCAAACCGCGTGTGGCAGAGGTTTCGAACGCAAGCCATCATCGATGAACAAACTGGCTGAATAACGCCTGCAGAGCGGGCTGTCCCGCCACGCACGCCTGTCCGCCCTGGCGGCCTACCCTCCCGATGACAGGGGCCCGGCCACCACGGCGGCCAGCTCGCTGAGGGAGGAGCACCGAGGCTGAGACGCTTGCAGACCCAGCAGACTCAGTCCCAGAGTCGCCTTGGTCGCTCTGTCTCCCTCGCACTCATGGGGCGCGCAGCAGAGGCGCGTGCTGCGCGGTGCACTGTAGGGCATGCCCGCGGCGCCGCGGCGATGGACTTGACCACGGCAACACGCGACGCGGCGACACGTCACGTCACGTGTCATATCGACCTGCACCGCCTGGGGCGGGCTGGCCGGGCTGGCCGTGGCACGTCCAGTGGGGCGAGGCTCAAAAATCCTCAAAAAAGTCAAAAAGTGTTTGTTTCATTATTTTTGCGGGACAAAATACAATTTTGACACGCTCGGTAGAAAGCGTTTGGGGGAACTTCCCTCCAGACCCAGCAAGCTTACAGGGAGGAGGTTGGCGGCCCTGGATCCACTCTCGAAGCGGGGCACGACGCTGCTGTTAATCCCAGGGCGTTGTCGCGGCACTGTTGCACGGCGGTATCGACTTGTGGTCACAGTGTGGTCACAGTGTGGTCACAACGCGGTATAGCCGCAGCGTCGTCACAGTCCGTGTCTCTGCTGTGCCACACGGTGCAACGCCGAGACGCAGTCACAGCGAAGGCACGCCACTCGCACACAAAACACACACAGACACACACACTGACAGCGGCGCGCGGTCTCGGCCTCGGCGACCAGCGGGGCGCGTGCCGCCAGCAAAGGACTGCCAGTCTGCACTGCCAGTGTGCCAGTCTGGCACTGACTGATGGCCGCCCGATCGGCCAGGCCCAGGCGGCCCAGGCAGCGCGGCGGCGGCAACCGCGAAGCGCGCGAAGGGGAGCCGCGGCCGCCCGCCCGCCCGCCCCGCCCGCCAGCCAGCCAGCCCAGCCAGCCAGCCAGCCAGCCAGCCAGCCACGGCACGCCGAGGCCCTCCCCGCCAAGATAGCCACACAGCACTACAAACACGTCAAGCCAATGTGGACGAATGGCACTCGCGCACAGCCAGTTTCGTCGAAAAATTCGACCGACACAGTCACTGCAGAGACGATACGTCGCTTGGTTGGTTTCCGCGATTATTGTATGGGCTCCGGGAGCCAGTCCAGAGCCGAGAGCACGAGAGCCTCCCTCGGCACCCAGCGGGCAGACCGAGCAGAGCAGGCAGAGAGAGACAGAGGTGTCATCGTCCTGCTCTAATAAACTCGCAAGCAGCCCAGCTTTCATGCCGACTCCACCACACCGCGCTGCAGCACCGCGGCAACGCAGCGTCAGTTCTCCACAAACATTTCGGCGCAGAGCCGCGCACTGAATGGTCCACTCCACTGCATGAACCATTCCATGGAGTGCGCTTGTTGCATCTTAGTTCAAAATACTACTTTTTTGCCTGTCGTCGTGTGGTTTTTCAAAGTGGTCTTCTTCTTCCGGGAAGGGGGAGACTGTCGACGCCCCCCCCCCCTTTCCGGGGCAGCACGCGCTGCGGGGGGAGGGGGGGGGGCTGCATTGTTGATGGGGTGGGTGACTCACCTGTCGTGCCTCTCGGGCCTCTCGGGGCGGCCCGCCGTGGTGCGGTAGGTCCGGGGCGGCAGGGGCGGCGGGGCGGCGGCGGTCACATCGGAAGCCCGCACGGGGCCTGCGGCAGAGCAGAGCCGCGACATGACGACGGGGGGAGAGGATTGGAACCGCGGTCGAATTAAAACAACAACAAGAGGGGTAAACTGTTAAAATACGTTGTCACTTTATGAAAGTAACGTCACAAATTTTGTAACAATTTGTCTCGCCACCTTAGGTACACACATTGTTTCAGTGGGGGCACCCCTTTCGACGCGTGCGTCAGTTCAAACTGCTATTTCTCGCAAAATTAGTGCATTTTTGCACAAAACCCGTGCAGGAAAATCGTGCGGAAATTTCAGGCACGAAAAAGCACAAAACGCGTTGAGCAGACCACGGTAAAAACGGATCCTGGTTTTCCCAGGAGCTCCCTGGAAATCGCCTTATGTCTCCACCATAGGCTTCCTGAGAAAACCAGGTTCCGTTTTTACCGTGACGAGGAAGAAACGCGGCCTTCTCGTAATCTCCGCGGCGGCTCGGAGGTCCACGAGGTCCACGAGACCAGACGCCCGGCTCCCCGAAGCCTCTCTGCGCGCCGCGACGCGCCGCGCATTGACATGCTTGACAGGCAATAAAGGGAACCGCCGCCGCACCGCCGCGGCCCTGCTGGCCGAAACAGTGCCTCTCTGTCCCGCCCGCACTCGCGGGCAGTGCCGTCAGGGAGCGAGAGAGACAGAGCGACAAGGCGCCGTTCGGATTCATCCTTGCTGCGCTGGCTGCCCCGCTGTGCTGCTGTTGCGGCCACTTTCTCCGGGCGCGAATTCCGCGACGAAGTAACGCGGCACTGCGACGCGGCGGCGAGGCAGGCAAGGCCGCGAGGCACGCACGGCAGCAGAGCCACCCGCCATTCCGTCTCGCACCTCGCGGCGCCGAAGTTTCCCACCGTTTTACCGCGTTTTCTGACATTTTTGCAGCAAAAATTACCCGTTTTCCAAATTTTTCATTTTTTTTCTGAATTTTTCCGTATTTTTCCTATTTTTCCGGAAATTTTTGGAAAAGTTGAATCTTTCCGGAAAATTAGAAACACTACTCGCGGCGCGTCACTTTGGCTACACCCCAGGGGGCCCAGGCGAAACGGGGTGCTTGTGAACGAGTAGGCAACGGGGCTCAGGATGCACTGCAAGACCCCCAATGTTTGCTGAGTACACAACCGACGAAATTTCATAAAAATGTGTGCAGATTGAAATTCGACTGACGACAGACACTTTGGGTCCATCGGGCTCACCATTGTGGTTGTGGTCGCGCAGGCCGTTGTCCGTGAGGTTCTCCTCGTCATCCAGGGCGTCGTCCGGGCCGTCCTCCAGGCCGTCCTCCAGGCCGTCCTCCAGGGTGAGCGCGCGCTGCAGCCGCACCGTCTCGTGCGTCAGGCTACGCACCCTGGCCAGCAGCTCCTCGTACGAGGACACGGGCAGCGTCATCACCAGGAGTCATGCTGCAACAGGCGCGGCGGGGCGTCAAAATCACATCGCGGCGACGACGGCGACGTACGGCAGGAGAGGACGACGAGGACGAGCATCGAGACGGGCAGTGCGCCCACGCCGGCCAGGTCTAATGACGCATTGTTTGGCGACGGACGGACAGACGGACAGACAGACGAGGATAAACAAACATGTGTGCCCAGATTGGTTTCTGCCCGAAACGGCATGCTTAGATCTTCCTCGCTGTCTGCATAAAAGGACGTCTGCAGAGTCCCTGTGGTGTGTGTGTGTGTGTGTGTGTGTGGACTACACGAGGCGCATGACAAGAGCAACACACGTTTACACGGCGCAGGGCGCATGGCGGGCACGGCGCTCCGTCGCATCCAGTGTGGGGTTGGTGCAACGCTTGTCGTAACACCGGCACCATGCACTGCGGCGCATGCACATGTGCGACTGTGTGTGTGTGTGTGTGTGTGTGTGACTGCACACGCGGACGTGTCGAGTGTGAGTCGAGCGTCCAGTGTGTGGGTGGGAGAGAGAGAGAGAGAGAGCGCTATGACGCCTACATTACACGCTCCTCTGCGATGCGCAGCCCCGACGCGGCCTGCAGGATGAAGCGTCCTGACAATTAGCATGAAACATACACACCTCGGCTGCGAAAAAAAAAACGAGGAAAAAAGAATGGAAAAAGAGGAATGAAAATAAATTATTATGTAAACCGTCTCACATCACACCCCAATCGCTGGCGCCATCTAGATCTTTCCCTCCCCTGGCAGCCCCCAGTGCAGACCAGTGCAGGACGCCGCACCGGATATGCACGCCGCAGCGCCAAGGCGTGCACGCTCCTTGCTTCTGTCTCACATCGCCGTTTTTGTGTTGTTTTTTAAACCGCGATTATTCTAAAATATGTTGGACAGAGATATACTAGTAAATTATTCACGGGAAGAAAGTGAGGGGAGAAGCAGGAAAAACAGCCCAAACTGGCAGTCCGCGGCACGGCACGGCACAATGAGCGCTCTAAAAAAAAATTCTGGTGAAGATTTCCTGGGGATGCAGCTTGCCAACTTGCCACTGCTCATTGCACTTAACAGACTTTTTTGTCGAGTATTTCGTGAAGAAAATCCCTACTACCATAATATGGTGGTGCAGCCTTTCGCAGAAATTTAAAAAAACATAGGAAGTGGCTTCCCGTTCCTGCCCAGGACAAATGATGTCAGTAGGGCCTAAAAATTAGCGTGCTGGAATGCTGGAATTATGGTTCCAGGCAACTGATTTTCCTCAAAGATGTCCCCACCCGTTCTCCCCGAGAAAAGCCACCGAGGCCCGAGACCACCGAGCCTGCAAGGTTGAGCGGCTCCACCGCACCGTTCGCTCTGTCCGCTCTGCAAGCAGCCCGCCCATCCATCGCTTGTTCCGAAACGCAGTCAAGTGAATTCCGCCAAACCCACAGACGGTCCGTTTGTCTGCCGGTCGGGCTGTCCCAGTGTGTCCGCTCGCCCGTGAGTGTGACAAAGGCAGCACGAGCCCCGCGGCCCCGCGCAGCGTCGCCGCGCCACTTACCATGCCCAGCCGGGCAAGCCGGGCAAATCGCAGGAAAAGCGCCGCTTCACCACTTGAAAAAGGAAAAAAACTCCCCCCCCCCTTTTCCCCCTTGGATCCACCTGCTTCCTTGACTAGAGGCTTTTTGACGTCGTTTTGACTTTCCGTTCTCCCTGATTTTATTTTATTTTATTATTTATCACTGATTATAGGAGGTTATTATGTTGATTATTGGGAAATATTGGGGATTATTTGAGCGCCGACCACGAAAAGCTTTTAAAGTGTTGGAAATTCAATATTGGTGACTTTGGGCAGCGACTGCGTCAAATTTAGTTGCGGTCATAGGCCTTCTTCGACGCCTTACTATTCTGAAGGCCCTAATCTTTCATGCCCTGCCTCGGGAAGGCTTTGACCGCTGATAATTTGGGAGCAGTGGTCTCACAAAAATAGTCAAGCAGTGAATGAATTTCAGAAAATTACCGTTTTTGCTTACTTTGAGCGGTCACTGCATCCAATTTAGATGCGGTCAAAGACCTTCCTCGACGCCATACTATTCTGAAGACCCTACTGTTTCATGCCCCGCCTCGGGAAGGCTTTGACCGCTGATAGTTTGGGAGCAGTGGTCTCGCAAAAATGGTCAAAACGTAAATGAATTTCACAAAATCGCCGGTTTTGTTGACTTTGAGCGGTTACTGCATCCAATTTAGTTGCGGTCAAAGGCCTCCCTCGACGCCTTACTATTCTAAATACCCTACTCTTTTATGCCCCGCCTCGGGAAGGCTTTGACCGCTGATAGTTTGGGAGCAGTGGTCTCGCAAAAATGGTCAAAAGTGATTGAATCCCCGAAAGTATGGTTGTCATTTCATTGGATGATGTTGATTATTTCACTGACTACCAACCAGACGTGCAATGATTATCTTGAGTTGGGTACCCCTTGGGCAGCTCGCGGGTACCCCCTGCAGACCCGCACTGACCACCGCAACACGCCGAGGCCGGCCGAGGCCCGGGCAGCGCAGGGCAGCGCAGGGCAGCGCTAGGCACTTTCTCTGATGCGATCTGAGAGGGTCAGGCCGTCAGGCCGTCGGCATCGCCTGCCGTCATTGCCATTAGCAGCCCGAGATAACGCCTGCCCACCCCAAGCAGACTCGCCCTGTCTCTCTCGCACTCACGGGGCGTCCCGCATGCGTGCGAGAGAGAGAGAGACAGGGCGGCGAAGACGACTCCCGGAGTCCGTCGGCGTGCCAGCGGTCCGGTCACGGTCGGCACGCACGCCGCGCGCTGTGCGGTCATGGAGGCTATGGAGGCGGTGTGCGAAGCGCCGGGCGCGGATCCAGGGGGGGGGGGAGTTGCCTGAAAGGTAGGCATCAAGCCACACTTGACCCCCAGGAGGGCCACTTTGACGACCGCACCCCTGATCCCGCTGAACCCGTTTCGGGATCCATTGCAGAGCGTGTGGCCGCATGCTGCACCCCGTCTCTCTCGCACTCGCGGGCCGCTCCGCAGAGGTGCGGGAGAGACAGGGCGGACAACGCGCTTCGGCCGTCAGCCGGTCCGGCGGTTGTAACAAAACCATAGCCAAACGGCAACGTGCCCCCGCACGCTGGCGGCCGGTCCATGCCAACGTGCTTAGCTAGCGCGCCCTCTCGCACTCAAGGGGCGTAGCGTGTGGGTGCGAGAGAGACAGCCGACGAGGCGAGGCAGGCAGCCCGCGCATCGCTGCGGTACGCTGCGGCATGTCGAAGCGCCGTCCGCCCGCGGTAGCCAGGCCCTGCCCTGCCATGCCCTGCCAGCCCAGGCCCGTTCCGCGCCACAAAACCAGTCAACTGGCCGCAGTGTGGGCACTGCACTGCTCTGCACGGCCCTCCTCTCTGCAGCAGACTCACTCCGAGAGTCTCTGTCTCTCCCCCACATGGGGCGCCCCGCACGGGTGCGAGAGAGACAGAGCGACGAAGCCCGACTTTCGGAACGAGTCTGCGAGGCACGGCCCTCTACACCTGCTCCTAACGAGCCGCGCGGTGCGGCCGAGTGCGCGGAGCTGCAGCCAAGTAGCTCTCTTTGGCCAACCCCGGTTTCGCTTTGGCCGGCTCTGACTTCACTTGGGTAAATATTTCGCCTCAAACCCGGGCGGGCCAATTTCTCTGGTTGGTGCAGGAACTCCCCCCAGACGAGGGGGCTGGAGGGGGACGGGGCACTGTCGCCTCGATTTTGGGCCGTGAGACTGGATGCGCCTCTGCCGCTCTGACGGGCTGGCAGACCCGAGTCAAGCCGTCAAATGGTTCGGAACATCCGGGGGCACTCACTCGATTTGCCCCCACAGTGCTCACAGTGCCCCCACCCTCCGACCCGCCACCCAGAGCCAAAAAGAACGCCACTCAGCCCACCACGACGACACACTGGGGAAAAAAAGAGCATCGAGCCTAAAGTCTGTTGGGGCTGCAAATCGGCGAGGTTTCTAATGGGAGGCAGGAAAACGGGAACAAACCTGAAGCCTGAGGCTTGAGGCCGCACAAGGGGCAGTGAGGAAAAGAGGGAGACCCCCGGTGCGGTGTGGCAAGGGGGGAGGAGGGGGGAAATCGGAAGCTCCATGAACCAGGAAGACCAACGGCAGGGCATAACTAAACTGACGGGGAGGGGGGAGGTCAACAGGACGAGACACCTTGTGGTGTGCACACCAAACATGGGCCGCCAGGGTCGCGCAGCGTGCCCGCTCCGTGCATTGCTGCTGAGTGAGAGAGAGAGACAGTGAGTGTGAGAGTGACTGAGCGAGTGAGCTCGCGGGCCTTAGTGTGTGTGTGTGTTTGAGAGTGTGTCAGTGAGTGAGCGTATGTGATTTTAGGATCTAAAAATTCTAGTTTCAATACGGACTGCATCCAGGCTACACAGGAAAGGATCTTAAACATGTGCACCGATTATGGTAAGCCTCTTTGCCAAAAGCTAAAGAAGTGAAGCTTACAAAGCTTAAATATGTTGTTTATCAGCTATTTCCTAAAAAACAAGAAGATACCAATAACTAGTTGTGCCTTTGATATACGTTCAAATGACACAGGATTGTAGAATGAATGGGGACAAGCTATACATGAATAGCAAGCAATTCTTGACTCGATTGCTCTACCATGCAAACAAAGCCAATATTTTCTTCACGTCTGCACCATCAATTACGAGTACAAACCGGTTAAATTTCACAAACATTGCCATTCAACAGTAATCAATCACCAGTGACGGCAGCTCAACATCTATTGGGGAACACTTGGGGAGCGCGGGCAGACAAATAAACCGCACGGACCCGGACCGAGTGAATGTGACAGTCAAGGCACGGGTTGCTGGAACACTCACCTTTACTTGTGCGCTTCTTCGAGGCGAGTTTACGCGAGGACTTGTCATCCAATTCACCAGGGATCGATTCTGCGACGGGACACTCCACTCCCTGGGATCGCCGCAGCTCGAACAGTGCGGCACGACCGAGCTTGAGAACCGACGCACCGCTAAGCAAAGAACAATCCTTCGCCCATCAATGAAGAGAGGGGTGATGTTCCAGTCGGAAATCTCACATTTGGTCGGAATTTGGACGAATCACAACAAACAGAAAGCCACAGTACCCAGGGCAAAGATGGTGAGGCTGCGCCCCCTTTTGTTTTGATGCGAGGTTCAGGCTGCTCTCGTGCTTCTGGAAGGCGGTGACGTTGGCAGAACAAACGAGCGTCGACAACCCAGGCACTGCGACATGAAGGCAACCTGCACTCGCGAGCGGTCACGGCGAAGGAGCGACCAAATCACCCAAGATGCAAAACGGCTACTCGAATAGAACATTCTACGGGGACCCTTACTTGGACTTTCCAGCAGGTACCAGGGCGCGCCCGGGCGTGACGCCCCGGGCAGCCTCGCACGGGACGAACGTGTAGAGTCTCAGGTGTGGGTGGTGGCAGTATTGGAGTGCTCGTCCTTATATGGCAACAGTTCCTGGAAACGAGAGTCCGATTCAGTGTAATTTTTTTTAGTAGAAAAATATCTTAATTTTTGGACGCTAGCCGTATTACAGCTCTCCGCATTAGTGGGTAAGTTTTGGGGTGGATCCAGGCGACGGCCGGCGCACGTCTTGGTGCGGTCCTGGTCGTGCCTCTGGCTCCGTGAGCCGAATTGCGCCGTTGTGGCGGAGGCCTTTCTGGGTGGGCCCGGATTGTGTGAAATTCTCCGAAAAGCGACAACACAGGAGTGAGCTCACTGTTGGTCGGGTCGCTGCGGCAGGCTAAGTCTTGGTGAAGCGTTTGGGCTGCCGTTCTGGCGGAATCATGTTCGAAGTGAAGAGTGAAAACATTATGCCGTCGTGTCGCTTCGGGGACAACTGTGAGTAGGCTGCTCCGCCGTGCGGTGCGCGGTGCAGTGTTTGCAGACAGGTTGCTCTGGGCTGCAGGTGCAGGGGCAGGCTGTGGCCTGCTGTGCGTGTGGACCCCTTTCCGCGCGGGGGCCTAGGCGCTTAGGAGGTTACGGACGCTGAACTGAAAAGTGGTTAGCCTTTCGTTAAAGGGGCCCTTAAGCCTCTGTCATACCTGTAAGCACAACAGGTGTGTGATAGACTTTTCCACCTTTGGAAGCGGAATGTTCACTAGGGCTCGTAACACTAGAATTACCTTCATGCTTATAGTTTGGGTCGCTGTTTGTTTTTTACTGCTTGTTTACTGTCCACACCTTTTTTTGTGAATTATGTTTGAGTTGTTTTGATGGTACCCGTATCATTTTGCCTTTGATGATATGATTCTGTAGTTTTCATTTATTGATCTGTATCATTCAGTGGAGATCTGTCAGCAGTATATCTGATGCATTAGTTTATTTTCTTCTAGTAGTCGTATGTTAAGCTAGTGATTTCTTGGAACTTGTTTATCACATTTAATGCTTGACCTTGAAGAATTGTTCATTGGAAAATGATTTAAATGTCATTGCCTTTTCACGCTTTTTTGTTTGACATTTGGAATGTTATAACTGTTGCTTACCTGAAAACTCTAAAAATATTGCTGCTAGAATTCATAACAACACTGGTGTATATATTTTCTTGCAGACAACGGGCCAAGTGAAAATCGTTCCCCAATGGCGCTGTGGGCCAAGGCACAATCTCTGCCTCCAGAGGCACTGCAGCAGGTTCGAGCCATTTATACAGACCGCTTCCCAATCGAAGTTCGTCATTTCTTAGCATCATGGATAGAAGAAAAAATGTGGTAAGTGTAGTTTCTTCTCCTCAGTCACTTTTCTAGTTTCCAATTTTCTTATCTTAGTTTTGTTTGCAGGGGTTTGGAGATTGAGACAGACAACCCTCAACATGAACAGTATGCTGCTAATATTGTGGCAGATTTAATCCACCAACTGGAAACAAAGGCCAATTCCATGAATTCAGAGGAGCTCTTAATAACAAAATATAAGTTAATGGACTCTGCTAATGCTTTCAAGGTATTTGCAACTATTAATTAATGGTTGCTGTTTCATAGGGACTTCAGTAATTTAATTACCTTTGGTTTCTTGTTCACAGCAACGCTATGCTCGATGCCCTCTGGATTTGTTTCGGTTGATGCGCCATTGTCTGAATTCAGAGTTAAAAGTTATACAGCAAGTAGAAAATGTAAGTTGTTTTTCTGTCAACTGCAGTGAATTGGCCGGTGCCAGCTCTATTCTGTTAAATGGCACTTTTTCTCCTTGTAGGTCCCTATGGGCTCAATGCCACCTGGAACAGGATTAATGCCAGACTCAGCTGCTGAAATTGCACAGCAAGTAGATGTCTTGCGGCATCGCACTACAGAAACTGGTAAACTTCTTCGCCAAATGGAACAGGAACAAGAGAACTTTGCCCTCCACTACCATGAGTGCACCAAGCTGAAAGGTATTTAAAGAATTATGAGAGTTGAATGTTGAATAATCAAGTTTACCTGTCATGACTTGTAATTCCTCAATTAACATTGCTTTATCCTTGCAAGCTCATCTTCAACACCTGCAATCACAGCTAATAAATCAACAAAATATAGAATTGGAAAAAACGGTCAGGCGCCAGAAAGATATATCAGAGCAAACTTTAAATCAAAAGGTACTTATAAGATGTTCACATTTAATTGCTTCTGCACATTGGCCTTTGTTATACTGAGATTATACTGAGTTCTTGGACTTTATGCTTTGTTCTTCAGGTTTCCAGTCTCCTTCAGCTCAGACTTCAACTAGCCGATAAACTCTCAGAGTCGGTGACGCACCTTGTAACCTTGCAGTGCAGGGTTTTGGATGAAGAATTGATTCGATGGAAAAGAGAGCAGCAGCTTGCAGGAAATGGAGCTCAGTTCAACAGTAATTTGGATAATATCCAAGATTGGTAAGGACACTTGTTCGAAATTAAAACTGTTAGATTAGTTTATTGGGTGGACGTGTATTAATTCTTTGAAATCTCAGGTGTGAAAGTCTTGCTGAAATTATCTGGCTCAACCGCCAACAGATCAAAGAAGTGGAACGTTTGAAACAGAAGTTGACCTTGGAGCCACCGGGTGTTGTAGATGTCTTGCCAAATTTGAGTATACAAATTACTCAGCTTCTTTCATCTCTAGTCACAAGGTAATTTTAAATTTTCTTCTTATTTCCCCCATTTGCCCTAACTTAACTTCAAATTGATCTATAATAATAACATTTGTTGTAGCACATTTATTATTGAAAAGCAACCTCCACAAGTTATGAAAACCAACACTAGATTTACATCCACTGTTCGCCTATTGGTTGGAGGGAAACTGAATGTTCACATGACACCACCACAGGTAAGAAAATTTGAACCTGCATTTTAAATCCGTGCTTCCTTTATCTCTTTGTCATAGAGGTTAGTGGTTTATTTTCTATTCTCTCTGTTAGGTCAAGGTGACGATCATTAGTGAAGCTCAAGCAAATGCACTTCTTAAAAACGATAAAATTGCCAAAGGAGAAGCCAGTGGTGAGATTTTGAACAACACTGGAACAATGGAGTACCATCAGGCTACACGTCAACTGTCAGTTAGTTTCAGGTATACTTTGTTAAACTGCTTATCATTAAGAGAGTTAAGTTCTTTTGAGTTTGCCCAGTTAACTTCAAGTGAACTGTATATTTGCCTAATCAGGAACATGCAGCTAAAGAAGATTAAGCGGGCTGAAAAGAAAGGAACCGAGTCCGTAATGGATGAAAAGTTTTCACTTCTGTTCCAATCTCAATTTTCAGTTGGTGGTGGTGAACTTGTATTCCAGGTAAGTCCGGTCAGCCAGTCAGTTGGGTCTAGCCCTCGAAAATGCTTGACTTAAATATTATTGTTTTATAGGTGTGGACCCTATCTCTTCCTGTTGTGGTCATTGTTCATGGAAACCAGGAGCCTCATGCATGGGCCACTGTCACTTGGGACAATGCCTTTGCAGAACCAGGCCGTGTTCCTTTTGCTGTTCCTGACAAGGTCGCCTGGTGCCATGTAGCTGAAGCACTCAACATGAAATTCCGCTATGCCACTGGGAGACCTCTGACAGAAGAAAATTTGTGTTTCCTTGCAGAAAAGGCATTCCGGTATGGACTTATCTTTTTCAGTAGTTCATGTTTTGATTACAAGGAATGAGAATTTGTAGGATGACCTTTAACAATAATAATTGGTTTGCAGAAACCCAAACATGTCAGATTTTCAAAACCAGATGCTTACATGGTCACAATTTTGTAAAGAACCACTGCAAGAACGCAGCTTTACATTTTGGGAGTGGTTTTATGCTGTCATGAAACTCACAAGGGAACACCTACGTGGGCCTTGGATGGATGGGTAAGGCAGAGTGCAATTGATGTTCCAAAGAATATGTGGAAGTGTTTCTAATTCATTCTATGTTCCAACTAGGCTTATTTTGGGCTTCATCCGAAAGAAACAGGCACAGGATATGTTAATTGCAACCAACACTACCAGTACTTTCCTTTTACGATTCTCAGATTCAGAACTTGGTGGCATTACCATTGCATGGGTCGGAGGTGTGTTATGACAAATACTATAATTATCATTTCATCAATGCAGTGTATTTTCAGTGAGACCCTGTGTGTTACCTTTTCTTTTCCCTTTATTTTCAGATGGAGAATTAGGTTCTCAAGTGTTCATGTTGCAACCTTTCACTCACAAGGACTTTGCCATACGCAGTTTACCTGACCGCATTGCTGATTTGCAACATCTTGTTCACCTCTATCCTGATATCCCCAAAGACCAGGCCTTTAGCAAGTACTACACACCACTTGGTACGTTTAAGCACTTGGCTCATGAACGCAGTGTGGTTCAATATCTTTAGCTTTTATTGTTTCTTTCATTCATCTTATTATTTAATCTTTTCTTCCTATCTTACAGAAAATCAGCCAACCTCAAACAATGGTTATGTGAAACCTTTCTTGGTGACCCATGTTCCTGGCTGGGGAGGACCTGGTCCAAGTTCCACTCCAAGTTACCCAAACACACCTCACATGTTCCAAGCTCCGTCCCCTGAGGCAGGTTCGGCAAGAGACACTCCATCTGTAGCCAGCCATGTTTCCGACTCTGTATCCAGGTCAGTGGACTATGATCAATTTCCACAACATTTCTCTCAGCTCTGGGCATACACATAATAATGTCATAGAACTGTATCAAAGAATATTGTGCTATAGATTTAAGATCGATGAATTTGACAAATTGGCACCAACGCGTGTAGGTCACAAGTATTATTACTTTCTCCTCCCCCTCCTTTTTTCTGTTTTTTTCTTCTTTTATTTTTATTGAATTGCTGGGCCAAACCTGCAGAAACTTTTATTACATGGTGTGAGGTATTTGCTTTTCTTTCTTATGGGTTCTTTGTTTTTTCAATAGAATTAAGATGTAAGTGGGCTTTCTTGTTCCTCTCATTGTTTTCCCCCTTTGCTCACTATTTGAATGTGAAGGTTTAATACTGTCCCACTTATAATTAATGCATAGGCGTTAGGCAATGCACATTTCACCCCTGCCCCTTCTTTTTCCTATTTCTATTAGTATTTATAATGATGACACATGTTTTATTATTATGACAAGCTTACATGTAAGTTATTTAATCGTAATTGTGCTCACTAGGTGTCAATTGTATTTCATTCTCATGCCATTATACTCACACTCATTCCATTTGCACATTTTCAACGTAGACAAAGTCATCTTCTTTTAAACTCGCTTTTTTCATAGGCTTTAAAGTCAATCAACTTGACCAATTTTTAAGATTTTTTCCCAATCTTGTTATAACATTAAAAGATTTTGGTCAATCTTTGATGTAACTCAATTGCTACTGAGTTTGCCACAACTTTCTTGCCACTCATCATGTACCCTAGAGTTAAGTGGCAAATATGCTTCACGTTTGAATCAAGGTCGTACATTGTCCTTGCGCTCGGTACTGTTTGTTGTAACGCAAGACAGTTTTGTTTCCACCTTTCTTTCTCTTTTTTCTTTTGTTTTTCTATCTAAAAACGGGCTCAGTGCAGTCTCTTTGATTTTAAAAACTATTCACAAGAATTCCTTTTTCAGTTTGATTTAAGTTAAGTGTTTGACTGATTAATAACTGCCCATTTATTTTACAAGATCTCATCACAAATTTGAACATTGTGTATGCTTTGATATGCTACTTGCTGTGCACTAATTGCATGTACTGTAGGTTTTTAGTGTCCATTGATTCAGCAGTAGTATGTGCTACTCTTGTGGATTTACTTACTGAATGCTGGTTATTGTTGCAATATGTCCACTTCTTATTGCACTATCCACTTTTTCCTGTTTAACTTCAAATCATGTTAGTGTTAAAACATTACTGTGGTGAGCTTAAATAGCTGTCATGTTTTGATTGGACAATTGTGTAATTATGACCTATTTTTGTATGTTTTTTGTATTGAAAACAAATAGCTGTCCATGTTTTACATCTACATTTGGTGCAATCTGCTGCCACCATAGTCACAGCTTGTCTAATTTTGTCTTACATTTTAGTCGGCTATAAGCCTAGGTATATTGTGTTATCTTTTTTCTTCTTTAGGGGTCTTTTTTCATACCCCAGTGCTCATTGACTATTGCATTTATTAATTTCATTGATCGCACAGAGGGATTTCATTATTTATGGAATATGCAGCACGTCCTTAGTGCTGTGACGTTCACTCCTCATGGATGTGAAGTAAGATTCGTTTGAAGCAAGACTGCTTGCTTGTTCTTTAACTGCAACATGTCTCTGAATTCAATTGTTTTATACCCAATGTTACCATTTTTTGCCTATAGTCTATTTTAGTTGAAGGAGCTAGAGAGGGAATTTTATATTACTTTTGTCCTCTAATTAAAGCTTTGTTGTAGATTCTGTTCCTTTGATGTTTGTTTTATTTTCAGATTAAAATGTACAGGGCTTTTATCAGTGTTTTAGTCATTGTACAATGAAATTTGTCAATGTGTTAATAAAAAAACGCCACAATTCCGATGTACATCAGTTTCCACTCCTCCCTGCTTATAATTAACATAGGGCCTGCACCAGCTTCATAATCTGGCCAGTTAGAAACAATATGGAAATTAAAAATTGCTTAAAGCTTGCCTCAATAGCTATGATTCTTAACGGATCCGTCCTTCACACGGGAGCTAGATTTAGAAAACAAACAACATTAGATGGACACTAGATGAGCACCTTAGAATTAATTTAATCCTTTAGGATTGTTGGCTGCAATTAAAATGCTTGCTGGTTCTCATCGTAACCTAATTATGTTCATCCTCATATCATCCTGAAAAGTTTCAGAGGAGGGTACTTCTGCAGTGGGAGCAATGTCTATTGCATGAGGGAAACATTAGGTGACATCTCTCAAAATAAAATTTCTTGTGGTTTTCTATAAGAGGCTCTCAGGATAAATCCAGCATTAGGTAAAAATTGGAACACCTCATATTGATAATCCTGACATTCAGGCATTATTTGTTTGCTAGGTTCCTAATAAGTGGATTGAGAAAAGAATTTAAACAAAAATTGAATGTGTTTTCATTTCGTGTTTTAATAGTGAGCTGGAGTGGATTCTGAGGTGAGACACTTATTATTTTTCCTGTGGAGCATTTTAAGGTACTGAGTGGAATGCAGCATTTGTAGATAGTTGTAACAAGATACTAACATCTTGGTTTCTGGAGGACAACCGCCTAATACCAGGACAATTTTCTGCTTGTCTCTTTGTCCAAGAAATGCCTTTTCTTCAGTTTTAGAATATTGAATTTAAGTAGATGTAGTATATTTATTTGTTTTGCAGCTGTCATATTCTTCATATTGAATGTCTTTATAGGCATTCACTCCAAAGGTTGTTTCTTGTCACTCACATGTCATGAGGAGGAGGGCAGCAGGGTTTTGTGCTCATATTAAAGAAGGAGCACTAAGTGTTCCTGCCCCATTGAAGGGCCCTGTTTCTATTATAATGTTAAACTTGTCGCTCTGATTGTTAAAGAACTGAGGACACCACATTTAAATTGACAGATAAAAGTCTGTGTATCCTCTGTGAGTGCTACCCTGATGATCTTTTATCTTTCTTTCTCATTTTCTGTTCTAAAAAAGTAATCTCATTTTTGTAATCTCTACCCTTTCTCCACAAGTCTCACATTGTGTCGTTAAATAATTCTCTTCTGCAGAGCTGCTAAGTTTGTGTTTGCTTTAACTTAAATAATATGTATTGCATGGTTATTAATCCAAATTAATTTTCTTTTAATCTAGTAAGATTTTGGTTGGATTTTATTCAAAGTTATCTTTTTCTGAACTTTGTTTGTTTCTACTGTAACTTGTGTTCTTGGTGTTGACATAAACTATCTGTAGTGACTGTTATTGATGGCATTGATTAAGATCTTTTGGTTTTTATTTTAATTGGTATTTAAATATCAGTTTAGGTAGAAAATTGACTTATGTTAATTTTTGTTGCGAGGTTTTAGACTTTGTTGTTAGCCGTTTTTGAATCTCTGCATTTTATTGTGTTTTGTTTTTTTTTTAACAATATCTGTTTGTTTTTGTCCTCAGTTATGCCGGGGCTGGGGCTCAAAGTGCCGCAGGAGAAGCAGAATACAATGGCAGCAACATGGACTTCCTAGAAGATTTTGACAACTTTGATGTTTATCTGCCCCATCCAACATACCGCCAAGCTTGATTGTTCTTCGAAAGTGTCCAAATCACTTCAGTCACAAGGCAATCAGGATTGACATCTGCTTATCAATTTTAGTTCTGTTTATAATTGTTGTTTTCGACTTTTATTTTATCACAGCGCCCAATTTCACCAAGGTGATTGAAAAGACACTTGTTTGCTGTTAACTCTTAGTTAGTGTATTGTAATTTGTTTTGGTATTATATTTATATGATGTTAGTAATATAACTGTATATCATCCTGTGTCTTTATTTTTTGTATGATATTCTAAATTGCACGCCTTTTAGATAAGTTTCTGCATTTTAAGTTCTTTGTGTCAAAAATGCCTTCTTACCATACGTGTTCTATTTACTGATGAGACCTGTGTTGTATGGTTATTTGTCATTGTTTCTAGTGATTTCTGTCCATAACTGTTTAAGGCATTGCTATGTTCTTGTGCATCCTCTTTTGATAGCTGATGAAACTCCATAGTTTTAATTAAGTGCACGTGCTCTACTTCCCCTATACTTTTTTTAGTACTAAAGTAATGTAGTTTATCTTAAGCAGACAGTATGGGGCATATTCCATGTGGCCTTTTTGAGGAAAGTTTTTATCTCATTGCTGCTCTGCTCTGCTCTCGGACTAGGATCTGTGTGACCATGGTGTGACTCAGTCTGCAGCCATATTTACAATCATGGCAAGTTCCCTTCGTTGTATTGTACCATTCATTTTGAACCACATTTGCAGTTAAATTACAGTAGTGATGCAATTTTTATCATTCTTTCCTACCTATCAGCGCATGATTGAGCTTTCTTGTTTTTAATGCTGTGGTGGGTCCCGCCTATAGCGTTGCGGCCTTCTTGCACGGTTAAACAACATTACAAACAGGATGCGTTATAAGTGGTAAAAAGGATAAACACAAAATTTACTCGGGAATTCAGTTTTGCAACGTTACATGCAGGTAATGTTATGAGCGGGACCTACTGGATTTTTTGGTTTGAAGTCACAAAATAAGTTTTAACTTAAGTATCTTGATATTCTTTCACAATTGTATGAACTGTTCTTGTGCCATGGCATGGCTGTTAGCACAGCTCATTTTAGGCCTCGCTTTTTATTCTTTTAACTAATTAGGGTTTTTGTAAGAAGTTGCATTTATCAGAAAATATTGTTTAGTTGTAAAGCCACATCATTGTACCAATCAAAATCATTTGGTGGCATAATTATGTTAAAATGTATGATTATCATGGTTCACCTGTGGATATGATAGTGACATAACTACATTAAATGTTAACTCTTTTTTAGGTCTAATAACTTCTGTTATTTGTCAGTTTGTAACGTTTTAAACATAAACTGAATGCACTTTTCTATACGTGGGGCTGTGTGTAAGTTAAGGTTATTTTATGAAATAAACAATAACTTTCAAATGAAAGACTAAGCTAAGCAAATTGCAGTTACATCAATGGGCCACTTAAGCGGACAATGTATTCTTGTTTAATGTAAATTTTAAAAATTCTTTATAGTGCAAGGTATTTGAGACTGATTATTTTGTCTTAAAAGTTGTTTTCCTCTAAAGTCAATTAAAATTATTTGATTGAGACACTCCCTTTGTGATGGCCCAAATTAAGGATGTGTTATTTTGTGGAAATCTATATCTAGCCCTTGGAATCTGAGAGGAGGCTCTCGATAATACCATTGCATGTTAATGCAGCTAAAAGTTTTAGTACAAATATAGGAATTAATGTGTAGAGTTTATGTTGAACCAATGTACTTCTGTTTCTGTTTTTACTGTTTTGTATATGTTGCTTGTGATCTCCATAAGATAATTTTATCAAGCTTGACTATATTTCTGTGTAATGTTGTCATTTGGGCAGTTAATAAAAGTTTGACTTAAACCAAACAAAATGCTCTTCTTCTGTGCCCTATGTCTTGATGAGCCAGCCGTAGTCACGGTCATAAGCTGAGCCACGGGCCACGCACCGGCCCCGCCCGCCCCTCTTCACGCCATGACGTCATGACGCCTAACCAAACCAAAACAGACTAGCAGCCGACGCCGCTTTGAGAGTTTTGAAGCTCATTCACTGAAATTCTACGAAAATTCAATGAATCGGGGCTGATCCTTTGTGAACTTCAGTTCACTGGCCACTGCAGTAATCTCAATTTTAGCACAATTTACAAACTGACTTAACAATATGACCTGAAATGTCATTATTACCCTGTGTTTATTGACCTGCTAATTGATACTTGACAAGAGTTTATTCTGTAGTGCAGGCCTCTGCAGACTTTTGAACAGTAATTTTTGGGAGCATAATTAATTGAATAAAGAGATGAAATTTTAGGGTTGATATGTCACAACGTTCAGAGAAAATCAAAGATATAACAGGTAAATAGAGTTGCATTGATTTTTCTCTTCATTTTGTTACTTTTTAGGATTGACATATATCAGGTTGCCTCTAGGACCAGGTTTCTTGATGACTCCACAAGGATTCTTATCAACACGCAACATGTTCTAGGTTATCTTTTCCATGATGCATCAACACGAACAATAAACTGCGAAGATGTCAGAAGATCATCGAGAAATCATGTATGAAACAATACCAAGGACAAAAAAAATGGGTGAGAAAAACAAAAAGCTGTTTACATTTTTTTTTTTAAATTATTCTTGTTTCTGAACAATCAAATTAATCACAAATCAGGGTTGAGATGTTGAAAAATACAATCAAATTATTCAGGAATCAGGGTTGAGACATTGAAAAATTATCACATCATTGTTCACTAGCTAAAACCACCAGCTATAATTTTCATTCAAATAAGAGAAAAATCTCTTTGAATGAAGCATTTATGAACTGTTAAAATTATGCTGCTTATGTCTTAAACTGGAGGACAATATAAGGGTAAATGTCAAAGTTTGACCTTTTGTGAGGAGCCCCTCTGCTGTGAATTCAGCCTTTACATCAGTTGGTAGAATAGTTCTTTGCAGTTTCCAGCAACCAAAAATATTACCATCTTGCTTGTCCCACCTTAGATTAACAACTTGACAAATGTGGAATAAACTGAAAGGTTTTACAAAGCGAAAACTGCTGCAGTAAGTCATCTCCATGAGTACCTGAGTGTCAGCTAAAATTGATCATTTATCCTATGTAGAGCTCTTTCGAACGGGAACGTGGAGAAGGCGGACAACTGGGCGATCAGAGTTTCAGGATGTTGTCTATGAGCCAGTTCTATCTCAAGGGACATATGACGATGGTGACGATGAAATGCTTGTTGATCAGGTAGCGCATCTCAAGTCTCAATTTCTGTACAAGTATTAGGTACTTTTAAATCCATGCTGATGATATATTGATGTGTTTGCCTTGTTGATACCCAGTTTCGTCGCCCAGAAACTCGAGTACCTTGGTCAGCAGTTGTATTTGCTGGCATTCTGTGTCTCGGAGGAGCTTTTCTGTTAATAACTGCCATGCTCCTTCTCATTGGATATATCGATCCACAGGCAAGTAAAACAGTAAAGAACCATGTCTTCACATTCTTCTCCTGTTTATTTACCTTTAAATGTTTGTTTGTTGCAGTATGTTGACAGAACATGGCCAATGCTTGTCCTAGGGTTCATAATGTTTGTTCCAGGAGTCTATCACATGCGAATTGCTCTGTATGCATTTATGGACCGACCAGGATACTCGTTTGATGACATTCCAGATTTCGATTAAAATTTGCTTGCATTTGGGTCTGGAGGCAAAACATTTTGTTTAATCTTAAAATGCAAAATAGATTTTTCTCATTAAAAAAAAAATAAACATAACACAAAATACAAGGAAAATCTGTGTTGTTTTGTGACAAAGCAAACTAGTACTGAAATATACATATCACAATAATAATGATGAGGAAAGAAGCTTAGGAAATTAAAAAAAAACTACATGGAATAGCGATTTTTGTACAGTTGGTGGTCACCTCCAAAACCATTCATTTCTTCTAAAGATTTTTTCTTCTGGGTTTTTTGCATCTTAAGCCTCAAGAGATATTTCTTCACATAAGCCTCAACCCTTGCCTCCAGTCTGTTTTCAACTTTAATTTTTTCTATTATTTGAAGGACCTTTGGAAGATGTTTCATCGGCACTAAGAGTGGTCTGGTCTTCTCATCATTGCCTTTCTGTTGTTTTGTAACATCTTCTGGTGGTTTTGACAGATTAGAAACTATTTTATTAATGGACTGGACTGGGTTAGGTCTCTTTGATGGAATCAGGTGCTCTTCTATTGCTTTTCTTTTTAGCTTATTTTGTTTGATAGTGGTTGCAACTGATCCCGTTCGTTGAGTTGGTACAGTAAGGTCTCTAGTTGCAGTACCAGAATGTTGCAGGTCTTCTGTTACAGTATCCTTTTGGTCTTCGTAAATGACTCCAGTGTCCGAATTAACAATTTCTTTCGGAATGTTAATCCCCAGACATTTAGTAATTGATTGGAATTCTTCTAACTCCCTGAAAGAGAGCCTGAAAGAGAAACAAAACAATGAGACAACCACTCATAATAAAATTTTCAGCAAAGATTGCCATGCAACTTTACCTGACCACTCCTTCATAAACAAACCGAAGCACATTCAGCACAACTGGTGCATTATAGTCTGAAAGAGAGATATGGATTTCATCTCTCCACGCCTGTAAATGAGCAGAATCAAATCATAACAACTAGAGTAATAGCCTTCACCTCCGGACACAGTGACGTCCGCAATGAAATGTTTGGTAATAAATACAGCCAACAAACCTGTTCTCTGAAAAGGTTGTTTAAAAAGGGGCTAACGGAGCCCAGGAGCAGCCTGTGCGCCTGGACTTGTTTATTATCCTTGCACGAAAACACCACATCATGGTATCTTTTGGAGCATAAAAGGTCTGGAAAAGTCCCGGTAATGAGACTTTGATGGTTAGCATCCGCGACATGAACCATTTTCACCTGAATAGACAAAATAGTGTGGGTTAACATGCGAGAGCAGAAACGGAGAGGTTAAACCAGCCAGCATGCCCACAGCGACTGACCGATGGATCCTTGGTGATAGAGACGGAACACAAACACAGACAAGCTGCCTCTTTTCCTTTGATCCTAGCGGAGGCAAGAGAAAGAAAGGCGCGAGAGGAGAGAGTGTGAGGCGAGTTGAGATGGCTGAGTGGTTGGTTGGTGTTCCCCGCGCTGTGTTTGTGTTGTGACAACTCTGAGTTCTGCGTATAAGAGGCTCGGTTTTCGTTGTTTTTTTTTTTGAACTGCGAATAACAACTAACAGCTGCCAAGCGGAGAGGGAAGCGCGGGCTGGGGGCCCGCCGCTCAAACTGTTGTGAACCCTTCTTGAGTGCATTATAGTCAGTTCGTCGTGGTCAGCCGAGAGTCCAGCCCTTGGCCGCTTCGCCAAAGACCACAGGGAGGAAAGCTTTCGTGTCTTTACACGACACCGACTCACACGTTGTTGACAAGGTTGTCTAGAGCCCTATATACTGACTGAGCAGGACCTCTACATCTACCTGTCCTGTCCACTGCGAGTTGGCTACAGTCGTGTGGTGTCGCCTGTTTGGCTTTTGTTATCTTGTTCTGTTCACCTTGAACGTTCAACGACGAAAGCAGCAGCATGAAAACAATCAAGCAGGTGTTTTTACATCCACCATTCGAGCCAGAAAGCTAAAGCCGTGCTCGCCATTATCGACTCTGTTCCATACATCTTTGTCATTTATCAATGAAAGCAAGTTTCTGTTTCTGAGATTCCTTACGTTTTCGGTTTTAACTCTTTCTTTGTTTCTTGATGTTACTCCCCTTAGCACCATTTTGTATGTGGTAGTGGGACCACTCCACTTTTCGTCACATCATATTTCATCATTATCAGAAAATATTTTGTTGGAAAACAAGACTCATAAGGGAAACCAAATTTTATTGTCCAAATAATACAACAAAGAATGCATCCATTGTCTTAGCAGCAAAAGAGATGCATGTTATAATTACAAGTTATTTTAAAATAATCAAGCAAAATAAATACTTTACATATGATACACAATAAAAATTTTAAACAGGTACCACACAACAAAGAAGCTCTTTCAGCAACTATGGCTTTATGTACAAATATATACAGAAATATTACAAGGAATATACATAAAATGTAGCTATCAGAAACTTGTTTAATTCTCAACACATTCTAATATTCTCTTATGAGTTTCAGACTATGTGTCATGCTGGATTGTAGTTCCAGAATAAAATATAATGTATGACACTCCTTCATTAAAAAACAGGATTTCCAATTTTTTATTGAAAAGAAAGAGACCTTGACATTAGGTTCTGAAAGAATCATACAGTTAATTATTATCATAAAAAGTTGACTTAGCATACCTAGCCCTCCAAATTTCAAATTAGCCTATTTTTTTCAAAATAGCAGTCTGCAGTAGAAGCCATTAGATATACAGTACCTTTACTCGTTTACAACCAAGGTTAACAAACCACACAAAAAAAGTCTTCAAAAATCTGACGATAAAAATGTCTACATTGAATTAATTATTGTTCTGGACAATTTGGTCCAAGCAAATTTATTGTGTCAAGGATACTCGACATAAGGTTGCAAGTTACCTAACTTAGCTGCTAGAAGGGTTTGTAGGATACGTTTCAAATTTTTTTTACAGAGTTTTAAAAAATATCTGTTTTTGAAGAATGTAAGAAAATGCATTGTTCTCTTTTAACTATGTTTCAGATAACAGGTAGGTTGGTTAAGGGAAATAGTTCCATTCCCATACATGTACTCCAAGTACATGTACTCCATGTACTGCAGTCTTAGATTCATTCACATTGAGGTAAATAAAACAAAACTTAAACAAACATAACTGGCAAAAGTCAAGTAGAATTATTCTGAATAACAAAGAGCAAGGTTATTAGATTATGCTCCAAACATTAAAACCATTCAAGGCTTGAAATTTTCTTACAAGTTAAAATACTGATTCAATTTTCTATACATAATATTCAGGGTAATGTACAGGTGGAAATTAAAATTGGGTGACCCTTCCTTAATACATTATTTGAGTGTTCTATCCACACCTCTTAATACACTTTGGCAACTGTTTTCAATATACAGCAAAAAGCGAAAGTTACACTTCTTCCAATAATTAAGACAAAAACTAAAATATCATTTGGCGGAACATAACTATCATGTTGCTGGAACAATAACACAACATTTACCTTACATGAATATGAACACTTAGTTCTTCTTCTGGCAGTGAAACATTTGCATACCAATACACAAGGCAATATTATGAATTAAAATGTTGCAAGAAGAAATGAGGTCAGTCGTGGCAGCAATCCAATACGATAAACCATATTTGACAGCTGCATCATTCATCAGAGAGATCTTTCTCATGGTTTTGATTTATTTTTTTAGAATATACACTTTTTTCTTTAGAAAGAAGCGCTTTCTTGTTAAATCAAATCAAGTAGGGTTGAGATTCCTTAAAATCAAAACCTTCAGTCCACTCAGATCTTCCGCAACATTATTGATTCTTTCCAGTCTACTTCTCCATTGCATCTGCCAAAACATTTCGTGAATAAATGTCATGTCACTAAAATTGTAGGATATATTCTGTATTTAGCACAATCCAACATTCACTTGCTGCATATGACTTGCATAACCCCATTGACCCCAGTCAATAACAACTGAGCTGGAAGAAGAGGAATATTGTTTCCTATTCTTCCACTTCTAATTTTTTTGATATCAAGATCAAAATTGAAAGGCAACAAGCAAATGGTCCACCTAACTAGATTTAAAAAAAATCTCTTTGGTCTTGCATTGTCACAATAAAATGCTCATTTTAAAAAAGTTCATAACATTACAGTGAAGATTCCAGGCGAGCATGAGCACTGCTTACTGAGTCAGTGTGTGAACTAGAAGGATGAGAGTCATGGCTTGCTGAATCTGAATCGTTGCTGTGTGGACTGGAGTAGTTGGCAGCCTCCTGTAGGCGCATTAGCATGTTCAGCTAAAAGGAAACAGAACAAAGTACATTAAATATTGATAGATAACATTTTGCTAAGACAAAAAATTTGAACATTTTTGTAAGGACTGTTAATTTTTATTTTGTTATGAAATAACTTACTAAAGGATCACCGTCTGTATCACTGTGAGTAGAACTAATGCTTCGTATGCTGCTTCCACCAGCAATCATTGGTTGCATATCATACCCTACATCTTCAGCACGGAGTCTGCAATTAATTATAGCAAAAATTAGATATGTGTTATTTATTGTAAATAAAAAAAATGTTTGGAGATCATTTCATTACTTACTTTAACAAAGCTTCATGACCACCTTGAACTGCATCCTCTGTCCACGGGTAGGTTTGAACAATAAACACAGTGGGGTCTTCCCATGGAGCACGACGCCCATACAACTGCAATCCTTCACGAACAGCTTCAAGTAAGTATGGCACTAAGGAGTAGTTCCATAAATCGGTGAACCAAATCTGAGAACCAGCAAGGTCTGTGGGGCATGGAAGGAACAGCCTCGGCCCTGAAATGAAAAAAAGAATAATTGTTAGTTAGTGCAATGCAGCTTTGTCAGTGATGTTAGTAAAATAGAGAGACTCCTACCAATGGTAACATCAGATGAACTGTGGGCCTCAAGGAACTTGTTAAGTTGCTGCCAAACCTTTGGTATCCAATCTAATACTCTTGCCATGTCAGAATTGGTGGATCCTTCTCTTGCCTCAGATTCAAGCAACTTGCGCCTAAGGTATCTTCCTAAAAATCCTTTTACTGGTTCCATGTGATTAGCACAGAGAATCCATCTGGAAGAAATAATGAATTTGTAGTCAAATCGACACACACAAACAAAATTTAAAAAATGTTGTGCTCTGTACTGAATATTTACTAACTTACCGGAAATTATGGTGAAGTTGCAAGTTAGTGGTAGAACATGTGGCCTGGTTCATAGTTCCGATGATATATGGACATTTGTTGTATTTTGCATTCAAAAATCCATTAAAAACATCACCAAGGGATGCTGCATGATGCAGATTGTCCAAAATAATTACTGAGGGTAAATCTGCAGCATTATTCTCACACTGTTCAGCCACGTTAGCTAGGTATTGTCGCAGCTCTTTGCTACTTTTGTGGTCAACACTGTAAAAATTGTAAGACAAAAGTAAAAATGATGTCATATTTTTTGAAAAGCTACGAGATATATTCTGGATGACATTAACTTACTTGAAAGTTGCAATTGATTCCACAGTTGATTCTTTCCCACTTCGAAGTACCAAGAACTCAGCTAATTTATTTGCCAAGTAAGATTTCCCTGTACCGCTTGGTCCACATAAAATGATTCTTCTATGCTCAGTGAGCAATGAAATATACCTACGGCGGTGAGGAAAAGTAGAAATACAATATGAGTTCAGTGTGACAAAAGGAAAATGCATCCATATAGATAGGAATGTACCGACCTTTGAATGATGGATTTTGGGATGAGAGTCTCAAATGCAAGCGCATCGACACTGCCATTGTGAACAGCCCCTTTCAAACAAATAGTTATGGAGTCTGCATTGCCTACAAGGTAGCCACAAGGCAGGAGCTCTGGTGTCGGTGATTCTTTGTACCGCACCACCTCCCCCACGTGGTAACTAGCTATTGATTCTGTGCCCAAACCCAGGCTGGTAGTTGGGTCAACCCTCGAAAGGTATTCTTTGAACAGGCGTTTTATTAAAGTGTCCAAAACTTCCCACTTCGTTTTTCCTGACACAGCAATTGCAGCCACACTACACATTTGGGGCAGTGTTTCTGCAGTCTCTTCCATGTACCTTTCATAACTACCATGAGCACCCAAGAGCACAGCAACAGGGGTTCGCTTGCCATCAGGATCTAAGGCAGCTAAGGCTGCCATTGACATAGTGCTTGTTGATGAACCCCCGCTGTTGTTCAGAAAATCAACAGAATCTGAAAATGATAAAGAATGTCAACTTTAAAGTTGCCAAATATACATCAAATTGATTGGAGACAAAATCATTACCTATATTAGAATTGGTGGCATCGGTCATACTAAATCTTCTCTCTAAACCTTCCATTGCTAAGGAACACTGAGAGGTTGTTAGAGATTTACTGGTAACAATCCTTTGAAGTCTTTCATTATCCTGCTTTAAATTAAGCATTTCATTCTGAAAAACAAAAGGAGCATTGATATTTTTGTCCACTACATACGCTTAAAACACAACTCAGTGCTTTTCAGTCCAATATCGTCGTACTTACCCTCATTTTCATGACTGTATCTTTTAGGCTCTCTAACTGATGTGCGGAGCTTAATGCTTCCAGACGAATATCAGTAAGCACCAGGTCCTTTTCTCTAAGTTGTTTTCGCAGTTCTTCCACTAACTCAGGACAGTCAGTGTCATCTGAAGTACCATTCCCAGGATAAATTCTGTATAGAATGCCAAATAATAGTCATCAATGAGAGTAGGTTTACAGAAATATCCAGTTTAAAATGAAGAAAAAAGTGAACAACTTACGCAGATGATGACTGGCTCAACTTTGTGTTCTGGTTCACTAATGAAGACAAAGTACCATTTCCTCCGTTTAAAAGGGGTGATGAAGGTGCTGAGAGGTCAGAGTGTATCCCACGTGCATCTTCCACATCAGACACAGAGCCATTTTTGTTCTTCTTCGATCGAGAAAAAGCTTTGCTAAAAGAGCTGCGAAGCCATCCTTTCTTTTTCTTATTACCAGGAGACCCACATGCAGGATGAGCAGAACTTGAATGGCTACAGGCTGATGAGAGAGAATTAAGACTCGAAACAGAGTCTGTTGATAGTTGTCTTGACATAGTCATTCCTTCCCCATCGGTAACAGTATGTCTTCTGGTCAGATTAGGAGACATATTTTGAATATATGCTGATGTTAAGCCTGCTTCCACACTTTGCTTTCTTAGGAGTTCGATAGTTTGCCTCAGCTCTATAAGTTCCGAATCCTGGAAATGATAAATGAAGTAAGGAACATGAACTAAATTCAAATCTCTCACAATCTAATGTGAAAGAAAGCATTTGACTTTCTCACATCTACATCAATATTATAGTAATAAAAAAATTCTCACCTTTCTTTCTGACGAAGATGTCAGTTGATGTAACCGCGACGTCATATTTGACAGAGACTGTTCAAAAGCGGACACAACATGAGCCTGCAAAAACAAAAAATGAAATTTGCGAATTAATGAAATGCTTGTTAAGGCTCTACCAAACTAATACCAAACCGCTGTCGGAACATCGCCCAGAAACTGCCCAGTACAGAACCCCACCCCCAGTTCCAGTTTCTGAGGATGCAGGATGCACCCGCAGTACTCGCTCGCCGAGAGGCACTCACCTGCAACAGAGAAAAACAAAACAACGTCAGAACGCTGCTGGGACGCCTGAGCGAAGGCCAGTAAGCACACTGCACATCGTGACGGTGTGCGCCTCAGGGAAAAAAAGATACAAAGGGGGAAAAGGGGGGGGGCTCTCGAGCAATTCTCCGTGTGCGATCGGGCCATTCCGCGGGTACCGGCAGTACACCGGCAGTGCACCGGCAGTACCTGCAGTGTGGGGCAGCTCCGGTAGCGACTCCGGCGCGTTGCGATCTCCCACCAGGGCACTTGCGGCTTGGCCCTGAGCACGGGCTTGGCGGCGACGGCCTCCTCCCACAGCGGGTCCAGGGGCCTGCCGCCGGGCCTCCAGGTCGACGACCCAGACGACGACGCCGAGGACGAGCTGCGGGACGAGTGCGCGCTGGCCCCGCTGGCCGAGCTCCAGGACGACGCCGTGCTGTGGTGGCTGTGGTGGCCCCACGTGCTGTAGCCGCTGAGCCAGGGCGGCGCGGGGGCGGCGGCGGCGGGGCTTGGAGGCGGCAGGCTGCCGCTGCTGCCCATGCTGCTGCCCGTGCTGCTGATGGCGCTGCACGACCGCGGCGGCGGCTCCGGGGGCAGCAGCAGGCTGAGGCGGTTCTGGGGGCGGCAGCTGCGGGTGGCGCGCACCGTGGCGAAGCCATCGTGCACCGCGGTGGGTGCGCACGGCGCGCACTGCATCACGGGCATGGCCTCGGCCGTCTTGGAGTCGGTCTTCGCTTCGCCGGCGGGCCGCGGGGGCCCCGGCGCTCGCAGCGACTAGGCCTCACATCTTCACGGCCTTTGGTGGGCTGCTGCAGGGGTTGCTGCGGGAAGCAGAGACGGTGAGGACTATAGGACGCGTGCTGTCAGGCCGCAGCGCTCTCTCCGGATGCTTCCTCCAGGCTGAGTGTGTGTGGCTAAACCCTACGCTTCACCAGCTCTTGCTGGCCTTCGTCGCTGTTCGAGAGCGGATCTCCTTTAAGCGGATCTCCTTTAAAGTACGTGCAGTACGTCGGAATCGACATGGAAAAGCCACCGCCGCCCGGAGCAGCCCGGAGCGCGCGTGTGTCGCGTCGCGTGCGCTGCGGGCATCGCTAGCGCTAGGCATCGCGGGTCGCCCCGGGGAAGCCCCTCGACGGGGAAAGGGAGGGGGAGTAGGGGGCGTGGCGCCACGGGGCTGGACGGACGGCACTATTGGATCAAAGAAGAAAGAACACTTCACATACGCGTGGCACGTTCGCGTTTCGTACTGCGAGGGGCACTGCGCACTGCGGGGGCTTCGATGCGCACGCCACCACGCCGCGATGGGGCTGGGCCGAGGGCTGGCTGCCCTTGCTCACGGTGTGCCCACGGTGTGACAACAGTGGCCCTGCAGCTTGCAGCGAGTGCTGCTGCCCGCGCCGCAGAGGCACGGAGGCCGACTTTCCCTGGCAGTGAAGGGCCGGCCTGCGGTCAGGGCACGCCCCCGCGGCCTGCCCCCGCGGCCTGCCCCCGCGGCCTGCCCGCGGCCTGCCCCCGCGGCCTGCCCCCGCGGCCTGCCCCCGCGGCCTGCCCCCGCGGCCTGCCCCCGCGGCCCCCGGACGCGAGCACCAATTTGGGGGAGGGGAAGGAGAAGGTCTCCAGAGATGTGCGGCAGAAGCGGAGCCCCGGCCGGAACGTCTCGGGTCGCGAGCGGCGGAGCGGCGCTCCAGAGGAAACTATTCCCTCACTTCAATTTTTTAATCCCGGCCTGGCCCCAATCTGGCCAACGTGCCCGCCATCGTCCTGCAGGCCGGCCCCGAACACCTCTCTCGCACTCATGACGCGCCCCGTTGGGGTGCGAGAGAGGCAAGGCGACGTCCGGAATGAGCCGACAGGTCTCGCCGACGCACGGCCACGCCGCGGCCGGATCTGGCCGGAGTATTATTGTTCGGCCGAGGATCAATATTGTATGAGGCAACAGCCAGCGGAACGGCGAAGAGGGCAGAACGTTGCCGAAGAGGTCAAGGAGTACTTCCAGGACTGCAGCAAAAGGTGCTGGAAGGAAGGCTGCCAACGGACTGCCAATGCGCTGCCAAAGCCCTGCCAGCCAATGCACTGTCGTGTGTTTGCCCGGCCCCACACCTTTATAATTGGCTTTGCCCCCTCCCTCCAGCCACCGTTCGTGCAGCACAACAGCAACACAATCGAATCACGACAAAACTCTAATCAAATAATTCCCTTCTCTCTCCCTCCTTCTCTCGGCTCCCTTTCCAGCAGTCGGCCGCAGCATTCGCCAGTCCGCGGCGAGGTCAACGCCACCGTCATCGTCGGCGGCGGCCTGCTCCAGCCGCGGGCCGCGCAGATATCGCAGCATTGACCGACCGCTGCTCGGCGGATTGAATCACAATGGGACTGGCGGGGCGGCGAAACGGCCAAAATCGGAGGCAAAACGCGCGGGGCGCTGGGCGGGGCGTCGGCCGGGCCGACTGACGGGGTGCTCGACTTTAAGGCGCGTTGCGTCGCTTTGCGTCGCTTTGCGTGCGGCGGTGGTGGAGTCCGTGCGTCCGTCCGTGCCCCTGGCGGCCCCTGGTCCCCTGGTCGGCGCCCTCGCCACGCCGCGCCACCACGCCGCCGACGCGACTCTAGCGCCCCACCCCGCCCCGCCCCGCCCCGCCCCGCCCCGCCACGGCGGCGATACTCCTGCAGCACGCCCTTCCTCCCGAGGGGTGCGTAGGGCTGGTAGGGCTGGTGGGGCGGCGCGCCTGCAGGCTGATTCCGAGCGGGGCCCCTGTCTCTCCTTCTCGCACTCACGGGGTGTTCCGTACGGGGTGCGGGAGAGAGACAGAGACGGCCGAAGCACTAGCCGGGTAGCATCGGGGAGGTCAGGCCGAGGCGCCACGCCGTTTTAATAACACTCAGACTCAGCAGAGAGATTCCGAGCGGTGCTTTCTGTCTCTCTCGCACTCATGGGGCGTTCCATGGGAGTGCGAGAGAGACGTAGCGACGAAAACGGCTCTTGGAATCAGTCTGCAGGCGGGCGTCTATACGGCCTCCGCTGCCCCCGCCGTCTGCTAGAGGCCCGGGCCGGGCACTGCGCGTTGGGCCAGGCCAGGCCAGGCCGGGGGCGTCGCCCTGACGCCAGTGCGCCGCCTCGCCGGCCGTTGTCGGCAGGTGGTGTCGCTCGCGCCGAAACTACTGCCTGTCTCGGGAGAGGCCTGGCGCTGTCGCGGACGCGTTGGCAGGGCGTCGCGACGCGTCGCGGCGGACGCCGAGGTGGACGCGCACCCACCGTGCCGCGAGTGCATTTATCAGGCCTTAATCAAGGGCAGGGCGGCAGGGCGCCGCCGCCTCATATCTCCAGACATTACCCCGAACCCCGACTCGGCCCGACTCGGCCGCACACCTTGGGTTGGGGTGCTAGGGGAAGTTGCCAAAATTGTGGGTCCTTTTGTGTCTTTGGGCCACAGTTTCCTTATTTTTCGACGTATTGACCTGCGGTTTGATTCCTATGACTGGGCTTCATCTCCCCTGCTATCCCACACACTAACCGAGCATGCAGTCCAAGCATTTTCCTGTCAAAACAGGCTAAAACTGGGCAAAATGTAACTTCCGTGCTGTCCATTGTCCAAAAAGTCCGTGTTCCAAGGCGAACATCTCCTGAACTATTTGTCGGAGAGCAAATCCGCGAACAGCCTTTTGTTCCGTTGGCAACCCTTTATGACACCCTTGGATAGCAATTTCTTCCTGTGACTCTCACCTCCTGCTTTATTGGATGAAAAAATGTCCACCGTGTACTGGTTTTCAAACATCGTCAGCTTTAGACGCTGTCTATGTGGGAAAAACAGGGTTTTCGACAAAGGTTGTCCAAATCAAACCAAACTTCGTTTTTGGGTTCTCCTTGACCCAAAGACATGTCAAAAAAATTTTGAAATTTTTTCGACAAAATTTGTCGAAGTAGGAAATTTTTTTTATTTTACTCAAAAGACGCGGCAATTGATTTTGAAAAAAAATTTTTTTTTTCAAAGGTCAACTAAGGAGGAACATTTTGAGTTGTGTCCCATGTCCTGGTCTTGCTTAGTTTAATTGATACCCACCATTTTACGTTACGTGTTTTTCTCATTTTTACCTAAAAAATTAAAAAAATGCCCCTTTGCCAGTCAATTTGATTATAACTAGAGTCAAACTGAAGATATTTTATCTTTGTGAACCTCCTTCCATGCCTAACACACTATCTGGTTCCCCAAATGAACACAGTGTGTCCCAAAATACTATAACGGATCATTTAACGTTACACTTTGGAATAACGAGCACCGTGTCTATTGCTGGAGCAGTAGAGCAGCCCAACTATTTGTCACTGAAACAAGATTATTATTTTTATCCACTTGTGAAGGATGAATCGTTTTAATCTTTAATCTTCACAAGTGGATAAAAAAATAATCTTGTTTCAGTGACAAATAGTTGGGCTGCTCTACTGCTCCAGCAATAGACATGGTGCTCGTTATTCCAAAGTGTAATGTTAAATGATCCGTTATAGTATTTTGGGACACACTGTGTTTATTTGGGGAACCAGATAGTGTGTTAGGCATGGAAGGAGGTTCACAAAGATAAAATATCTTCAGTTTGACTCTAGTTATAATCAAATTGACTGGCAAAGGGGCATTTTTTTAATTTTTTAGGTAAAAATGAGAAAAACACGTAACGTAAAATGGTGGGTATCAATTAAACTAAGCAAGACCAGGACATGGGACACAACTCAAAATGTTCCTCCTTAGTTGACCTTTGAAAAAAAAATTTTTTTTTCAAAATCAATTGCCGCGTCTTTTGAGTAAAATAAAAAAAATTTCCTACTTCGACAAATT